GTCAGACACTTAACTGACTGAGCCACCCAGGTGCCCCAGAAGTTCACCTTTTAATGAATTATAGGCCTCATTTCCCCAAACTCCTAAGATTGCATAATTTCTACTTGGGTCAATAAGGAAATGTTTCCTCACTCCAGATGGTCTTTCAACTCTGGGGTTGGAAGAATGGGCTCCCCTCATTCTGGAGATTATTGTTTATGGATAGCTTTAAAATTTTGACTAATATTTCAACTGTTGAGAAATATCCCCTGTAATGTTCATACAGAATAAGGAAATGTAAAATCACTTTAGGTTGGCCTGGGGTGAATCACCAGACCCCAAGATCCAGGAGGACTGAGCCAGCACTGGCTGGTTCTCTACAGCATGTTTATGGAATAGGTGTTGGGAGATGAAAGATGGACTTCTTTTTAAACCAAGGGTCTTGCCAGGCACTCTACGGTCCTGGAATAGTCAGCCTGCATGCTTGGATAGTGTATCTTGCACTCTACAAGTCCAGTAGACACGAAGAATATCTACAAAAGGCTGCACGGTGGGGCGCCTGGGTGGCTCAGTCAGTTGGGCGTCTGACTTCGGCTCAGGTCATGATCTCACGGTCCGTGGGTTCAAGCCCCATGTCGGACTCTGTGCTGACAGCTCGGAGCCTGGAGTCTGCTTCGGATTCTGTGTCTTGCTCTCTCTCTGCCCCTCCCCTGCTCATGCTCTGTCTCTCTCTGTCTCAAAAACAAAAAATAAAAACATGGAAAAAAATTAAAAAAAAAAAGAAAAAGGCAGCATGGCGTAGCAGAATGAGCCCAGCACCAGACACAGGTGCCCTGGTGTCCAGCTTCTGGCCTGCCCACCATTAGTCAGCAGGATGATCACAGGCCCACTGGTCCCCTTCTCTGGTCTTCGTTTTCGTTATATGCAAAAAATGGTCATGAAGATTCCTTCCACCCTAAGATTTTATTTTCTACTTTAGTGACATTGAGAGAAAGTCTGCTATAATGGCTTTAGAAGAAAGCAGCAAGTCAATAGTTAAATACGTATGGCATTCCTTCTTCAAAATGCAGCCACGTATAAAACCCAAAACAATTAGGCTGTTTTATAATAAAAAGAGATTATGTTAATATTGTCTACCTGGCTCAGCCCCAAGTCATCCATCAGTATTCTGCTATCCTCCAACTCACTGTCATGATGTTGATGCAAAAATAAGCTTGATATAGGAGTCGATGCAGAACAAATTATGCGCACCTGAAAGAGAGGAGAATGAGGAAATGGTATGACTCCTTACATGTTACAACTCGAAAGTAAGAGCAAATCTCTCATGAAATAATATTGTGTTTGTCATTACAGGGAGTTTAGATGTTCGCTTTTAGAACGTCTGTATTCTTCCTAATAGTTTGTGTTTCTTTAAAGTGGTATTTTTAAACTGCATAGTACGTTTCTAAATATTTCCTTACAGCTTGTAATATCCTGTAAAGTAGGAAGCAAAGATTTTCGTGATGCCAGCTCAGGTCTCCCAATCTGAAGTCCAGTGGTCTTTCGGTTACACCTTGATGTTGACATTTACACCTGGCTGGTTGGAGCCCGTCTCTGTGTACATCAAAGATGCTCCTTGCAGAGGTGACTGCTAAGTTCAATGCATTGCTACTCTAATTACACCCTGAATTTCTAGAACCTACATTTATATCAGCATCCTACACTAAGACATTCTTCAAAAAGACTAAGCTTGGCATTAATATTTGTTGATTACGTAAGTGTTTGAGTGTGTATATGTGATCATATATTGGAAACAGCTTTTATATCTTTATAAACTCTATGTCCACAAATTTAAAGATAATACATACTCTTCTTGATGCTTAACAAGTCCTGAATTTGTTTTCAGGATTCACAGCTATCCTTTAAAAAATCATTATTTAAACAACGATACCAATACTTGAAAATAATGTATTGACATTGGGACTAGTTTTTCCATCTCCAGACGGTCTCCTACCTCCTCTTACAAATTCTTTTTAATCACAAATGACACTTCTTTCATCATTGAGACAGGAATACTCTGATTTCACAAATTTCCATGAATACATTCTAGAATAATGTCTGTTTAGCGCTCCCAACTTCTGAAATAAGAGAATTTCAATGATTCTCTAAAAAAAGAATATCAGCCCTACATGTGTGATATATAGTTAAAGCAAATGTTAGGACAGTGGTTCTGGTATTCCATCATATTGCCACAGAAATCTTCTTTCCCATTAATTAAGAAGTGAAACAATGGGGGGTGAGATAGGACAGAGGGAGAGGCATATGTTTTCCTTAAGTTATTCCTAGCTGAAACATGAACAAGTAAGAGTTTATCAATCCTCTTACTCTAAGAACCACCTACTAATGCCCCTCTGCCACTTTCTTCTTGAAGCATTGCCCTCTAAAAACAGAGGGCCACCTCCAGGCTCACTCCCTTCATGCTGGACCCCACATGATTATTTCAGAGCAGGGTGTCTGGATAAGTGATGCAGGAGACAAGAGACCGGACTTGATCCCCTAGCTTCCTTCCTCTCCTGTCTAGCTGAGCATGTGTATGCTGGCCCCATTGGAGTGTGTGGCACATTTTGAGGTGACTCACTGTGGCAGAGTCCTCTCGGCACCGTGCCTGAGCCAGACTGGTTGCCCTTTGTGCTCAGGCCTACCACAGGGCCTTTGCTGCAAGCTGCAAACATGCCCCCTGGTGACCCCTTTTCAACCTGCACTGGAGTTTAGCCATCGCTTCTCCAGCATTTATAAGGAGCGGTGGAGGAGCTTGTGAATCTGCAGATGAACAGCCCTGGGATTAGGGCTCATTTGCTGGGCTGGGGACAGGGTGGGCTCTGGAATGTGGGCCTTCGGTAGCCCAGAGGATTCGGATGTAGGCGGTCCACAGCAGGCCTTCGCTGTGTCCACCCCCACTCCCCACCTCCAAAGATCAGCCTTCTCTCCCCCAGACCCTCAGAGCACCATACTCCTCTCTCTCCTTCCAAGAGATCAGTCCTCAGTGGTGACTTCACATTTAGCTCTGTGGATGTCTGATTAATGTTTCTCTGACACTAGACTATAAGCTCTATGAAGGCAGGCACTAGACCTGGCTTCGCCTGTCATTGAATTTCTAGCATTTAGCACTGCTTAGCATGAAAAAGGTTGCTGAATGAATGAATTAATGAAACATTAAAATCTCACCTCTCCCTCCTAGTGGATTCTGGTACTTTCCTCCTGCCCTCAAATGCCACATGATATTCGAGTTGCCTTACATGCTCATTTAATCCTCAAAACAACCAAAACAACGTTTTAAGTGTTCTTCATGGATTAGCTTATTTTGCCCTCAACAACAACAATCCTCTGAGGCAAATCCTATTATCCCCAATTTGCAGAGGAGGACACTGAGGCACAGAGAATAAACCAGGATTCCAGCCCAGGCAAGCTGGCTCCACAGTTCAAAATGTTTAGTCTTGAGAAAATGCACTACATCCTTACCTTGAAATCATAGAAGTTATCAATGAGAGTTATGAATCTTCGAGCTTGCGTCCTCTTGGCCAGCGTAAATTGTGGAATGTTTCGTAAAAATACTGTATCAAAATTCTTTGACAGTTCCAGATAGTCACTGGCTCCAAGTGGCTGTAATTAAAATGAAGTAAAGACTAGAAACCTAAAGCCATTTCTGGTTGCCCTGCCTTAATTTGAAAACACCTCCTTTTCTGGTCATGGTCGGATCTAGGGGGTGGTTTGGGGTAACCTGACCAAATGGAGCAGTTTTCACAGCAGGTGAAGAGCGGTGTCTACTGAAACTGTAATAGCGATGGAGGAAAGGGGCAGGAGAGAGGACAGAGTGTGGTGAGGAGTGAAAGAGTATCTTGAGCTGCCTCAGTTGTTAGGCTGTAGGTCCCTGTCTTAAACTCACCCTTCAATTTTTTTATTTCTATGACATAACTGTAAACGTGTCCCAACAAATCCTTCTTATGGCTCAACCGCAAACTGTCACTACCACTAAATGGTGCTATCTTACAATGGCAAGCCACCTCTGATGTCACCATTTTGAAATACAGACTATGCTTCAGTATGAAATCATCAGAAAATGGGGCCTCTGGGTGGCTCAGTCAGTTAAGCATCCAACTTTAGCTCAGGTCATGATCTCACAGCTTGCGAGTTCCAGCCCCGCGTCGGGCTCTGCGCTGACAGCTCGGAGCCTGGAGCCTGCTTCGGATTCTGTGTCTCCCTCTCTCTCTGCCTCTCCCCGGCTCATGCTCTGTCTCTCTCTCTCAAAAATAATTAAACATTAAAATAATAATAAAAAAATCATCAGAAAAAATCTTCCATTGAATTTCAAGTACACGTGTTCAAGAGCAAGATAGTGAACAATGCCAGCTTCTATAGGAGATACTAGAGGGTTTCCTGACCAGAAGCAGACAGAGACCTTGAGCATAAGTTGGAGCAACATGTTCTCTCTTGATGTGAGGAGGGTCCAACACTCAAGGCTCACAAAATTATTCACAAAGGCTCCACCTATAACGTAAGGCACTTCTTCCTGAAACATGAATTTAGCTCATGAAAATCGTGAAAACTATCTGCAAACACATTCTGGGACACAGGCTGTGAAGCCTCTCAGTTTCGGGCAGAATCCACCAACACTCCACCCTGTCCAAAAACCTCTCCCTTCCTTGAGTTATTTGCATCAAAACTTCTTCCAGAAATGTAGGTATGACTATGTTCCTGGGAGAATTAGGGACTTGTGACAAGGAGAGACAGTCATTTCCACTACAGAGCCCATCTATTTAAGCCTATACTCTCCCGGCAACCAGCTGAATCCAGTCACTCAGGAAAGTAGACCTCTCATGGAAGTGTGGGGAGGTGAGAGTAAATCAGAGAGTGAAGCTCTGGGGAAGTGGTTCCCTCAAGCGAGAGCAGCTTCTAAGAAGGATGCAGCAGTTGGGGCGCCTGGGTGGCTCAGCTGGTTGAGCGTCTGACTTCCGCTCAGGTCATGATCTCACAGTTCATTAGATCGAGACTTGAGTCAGGTTCCGCACTGACAATGTGTGAGATTCTCTCTCTCTCTCTCTCTCTCTCTCTTTCCCCCACTCATGCATTCTCTTGCTTTCTCAAAAATAAATGAATAAACTTAAAAAAAAAAAAGCATGCAGCAATTATCAGACCCTGAGCAAAGGCGCACGAGACTGGAGACAGGGCACAAAGAAGCACAAAGAATGTCCTGGCTCCTTTGGAAATCTGCTTAGAGATGTCCCTTCTCCACATCTCCTCTCACCAACCAGGTACCAAATGGGGCTGGAAGAGGGGACCCTTGCCTTTCCCATTTCCCTCCCTGGCTGGACAGCCTTTACCTCCAGACCCAGTGCCTGGCCTTAGCTGAGGCTCCCCAACTCACTTGGCCATATAGGGACTCTACTGTGGGGTTGTTGGTTTGTTTAACCTTGGCTGTCTTCAAGGGAACCCTGCTGTCAAGCCTGTTGTTAAGAACCAGGAGTGAATACTCAGTCTGTTACTTATTAACTGTGCACCTTTGGCAAGCTACCTAATCTTTCTCTTCCTTTAGTTTTTTTTTTTTTTTTTTTTTTTTTTTTTTAATGTTTATTTTGAGAGAGAGAGAGAGTAAGAGTAAGCAAGCGGGGAGGGACAGAGAGAGAGGGAGAGAGAGAATCCCAAGAACTCCTTCATGCTGTAAGCGCAGAGCCTGATCTCACAAACCCATGAGATCATGACCTGAGCTGTGGTCAAGAGTCAGATGATCTGACTGAGCCACCCAGGCACCCTCTCTTCCTTTAGTTTTCCCATCTATAAATGGGAGTTTGATTCCTATCTCACAGGATTGTGAAGATGATACAAAATAATACAGGCAAAGCATTTACCACAGTGCCTCGGGCATACATTAGCACTCAAATCACTTTGGCTGCTTTTTATTTTCATTATCTTGAGCTCAAATGATTAGGCTCAATACAGACAAGTTGAGGATGTAAAGTGTTGCTCTAAATAGGACCAGTTAGCGTTGCTCCCCCATCCACCATATCCAAACCCCTAAATCAGTCTTTGTGCATTTGCCAGTCCTCAGTCACAGCAGGGACCAAATGAGCCTGTGGAATCCCCTAGAAGGAAAACAATTCCCTAAAGGGGGAGGGGGAAGGCAAGATACAGCGTGTAACTCATACAATAGGACACTCGCTCTGAGGGTGACACACTACTTTTTTAAGATCAGTGAGAATTTAGTGTCTCATCTTTTGTAAATCAGAAAGTATATGTAAAAAAATGTAAAATCTCATCTTAGGTATGTAGTTATGTATAATTAAACTCGTTCTTTATGCACGGATGTGATTTCTATCAGTATAACTACATGCCCAAGGAAAATCATCATCAGAAGTGCACTGGAGTGCCTAGGGCAACTGAAAATCAGAATTTTGCCCACTCAGCTATTTTTACAAATTATATACCTTTATCAGTAGGTTCTACATTTGCCATTATATTAGCAAATATCATATCCCTAAAAAATTACGTGCTCATTCATGTAAAGAAAATTAAGCTTTATACAGTTTAAAACAATGGTTAAAAAAAAAACAAACAGTGGGCACTGGGGAGTGACTGTTTAATGGATACTGAGTTTCAGTCTGGGAATATGAAAGTGTTCTAGAGATGAACCGTGGTGGGGGCTGCACAACAGCACGAATGGACTTAATGCCACTGAACTTCACTCTTAAAAATGGTTAAATGGCCAAAAAAAAAAAAAA